CGAATGTTGGGCCATTATTCTACTCTACGAGGGTCATACCATCAGTGAAGCCACAAGTCCTGAGGCCACAAAGTCCCTGTATATTTTCTCACTACTTCCAACCATGTCTTTTTGGGCTTACTCCTCGTCTTTTTTTAGCCTTCCACTTGAACTAACTTACCCCTTGTCTTTTTTCAGCCTTCCACTTGAACTTTCAACCATGTCCTTTTAGGCTTATCCCTTGTCTTTTTTTAAACTTTCACTTTAACTAACTTACCCCTTGTCCTTTCTTGGTCTTCCACTTGAACTAACTCACACCTCCTAACAAGTGTATCGCCAACCCACCTAGGTTTAGTCTACTTTCTCTCTTCTTATTGCCTATTGGTGTCACATCTAAATTCTCTTGAATATATTCATTTCGAGTTGTATCATTTTTTTTCTTGCAACTTATCCATCAAACAATTACACCAAATCAAATAATTACATATATTTGTATTAATTAAAATAAAATAATTTCAATATATTTTTTTTGTGAGTTAGTGGGGAGAGGGCCCCCTACCCTTGATAGGAATTGGGCCTAGGATGTAGCATTGCAAATCGTCAAGCACTAACCAATTAAGCCCAGCATCTTTTCCTAATTACAACAAATTTAATGTAACCACATTACAATAAGCTCAAAAAACTAAAAAAATAAATAAAAAACTATAACAAAATATCATCAATCCATACATAAAGCATGTGCTTGCACGTCACAACTTGATACACGTCTTTATCTTGACATAGGTTCTTTACCACCCTAAGTACAACCATCAATCTCCATGAAACAATAGCCTTCCCATTATACCAATTCACCATATTTAAATAAGGAAAAAGCTTATATAAGGTTGCAACCTTAAAATGTAAAATTAAAAATATACTTTAAAAATCCATCGCAAAAGGTTATTTTAATATCGAAACACTCTCTAATTGATAATCTCGACACTGAGATGTATATATATATATATAAAATAAAAAATTAAGTCTCAAAAATAACGCATCTTGCAACACGTTATCTAGACCGTCTATTTTCAATATTTTTTATAGATCTACTTGATTTTAACTATTTTTTTAGTTTAAAATTTTATAATTAGATATGAAAATAGATTTTTAGATAATCCTAAGAGTTTTTTATAACAAAATTACGTGTTATGATAAAAATTAGAGGTGCGCCTTAATTGGATTGTTTAAGGTTGCAACTTTTTTAAATAATCCCCCTCAATAACAAATATTCCCTGTGCTTTATCTATACTACATTATTAAGCAAGAGTTAAAGGGTGGACACATGTCACGAGAATATGAAAGAACTTTAATGCTATTGATATCATAGGGTTTTAAATCATATAATTATTTTCCTGTTCAAATTTCCACATGTACTCAAATATCTACAATAAATTGAAATTATTCATTAACCAAAAAACTAGAAACCAAAAATACAAAATCCTAATACCAATAAATAGAGAAGTTCTAAACAAAGAATGAGGTAAGAGAGAAAGGTAGTAGAGAAAAATATGATTGTGGATAATAGATAGAGAGAGAAAATCATAAGAGAGGGGGAGAGAGACATATGGGGAGAGAGGGAGAGGGAGGGGAGTCGTGGAGAGAGAGAAGAAAGAAGACAAAGAGAGAGAATGTCATGGAAAGAGAAAGACCGGAATATGTAGAGAGAAATTACTTCTAAAAATTTTTGATCTCTATCAACCGTCAAATCCTTATTCCATACGTAAGTCTGCCTCTCATCTTTCTCTTAAAATATTTCAATTTCCATATTATCTCAAATCCCCTTGATTTTCTCTCCCTATTGTGTGATTTGCTTATCTTGATTTTCTCTACGAATAATGTTAGATACTTTGTGAGTCTCTCCTACTATTCCATGCATTAGTTTTCCTCTCATATTTCTCCTAAATTATCTCCACTTCCAAATTATCTCAAATCCCCTTGATTTTCTCTAACTATTGGATAATTTGCTTTATTTAAAAAAGGGTGCAGTTTGTACAGAGCCTAGGCTCTAAACAATCAAATTAGCGCCTACCTTCAAATAGTGTTGAGAAATGTAGTTTCAATACTATAAATCTTTGTGATAGCTTTAAAATACATTTTTATCTTTATTTATAAAGTTTAAAGCTTAAAAAATAGTGTAGAACGATAGATCTATGAAAACTTAAAAATTAACGGTCAAAAAATGCATTACAAAATACACTATTTTCAAAACTTGAAATCCATTTTTTTCTAATGTCCACGTATCATGATGTTAAGATGATCAATTTGATGATTTTGGACATCAAAACAACCTCTTATAGTAAATTTTTTGAGGTAGGCTCAAATTTGATTGTTTAGAGTCTCGGCTCTATATAAACTTTTCCCTTTAAAAAATGGCAAGACAATTCAATTCAAGCAAAGGAATCTATGTACTTACACCTTTCAGTCTCTCTCTAAAGGATGAGTACATAACCTCTCTATGTCTCTCTCTTCACATAAAGGAACGTTGACTTACATAATAGAGCTAGTTTTAATCTTTTTTCTAGAAATCAGATTACAATGAAATTTTGGGTGTATATACCTAATACTATTGTGTACCATATAAAAATATAAAGGAAAAAATTTATATTAGGTTGCAACCTTATGCACCTAAAAAATCTATCAAAATGTTGTTTTAATGTTGAAAAAACCCTCTAATCGATCATCTTGACATCGAGATGCATGAATATGGAAAAGAAAGTTTTTGAGTCCTGAAAATAGTGCATCTTGCAGCACATTATCTAGACCGTCCATTTTCAAGATTTTCATATATTTATAGATCTACTTGATTTTAACTATTTTTGAAATTTAAAATTTTCTAATTAGGTATGAAAATAGATTTTAAGATAATACTAAATATTTTTTAGGGAAATTATCATTAATATACCTTAATTTTAAGAAAATCATAAAAAAAACGCAACTTCTCAAAACCCCGCCCACACCCTTTTTTTCAATTTTTGGCATTTTCTAGATAAAAATACCCTTTACGGTAGTTTTTCTACCGTAATGCATTGTGACCATTACGGTAATTAAAATATAGTTATAAATAGAGATAGAATTACGGTACTTCTTGTACTGTAATAATGTGAACATATATTACGGTACTTTAATTACCGTAATAACATAGAGTATTACGGTAATTAAAATACCATAATACCTTAAAGTAGTATTACGGTAATTTAATTACCGTAATAGTGCCCAAGCCACATTACAAACGATTATCTACTCTCTCGAGTTTACTATTTATTTACTCTCTCGATAAAAATCTATGCTAGTTATATTTTTCGAATATCAAATTTTTAGGATATAATCTCTACTTAATTTTATATAGTTATCAAAATTTTAGAACAAAAACACTCTTAAATAGGTGTTTTTGACTGAGAGAGTAGATCCATATCGTGCTCCCATGGGAACATGGATTTTTTGAAAAGAGACAAGGGTAGCCCTGATATTAGCTTTGGTTTGAAGCTTTTAAAGTATTACGGTAATAAGAATATCATAAATCAAAAGTATTACAATAATAAGAATATCATAAAGCCTTTACGGTATTAAGAATATTGTAATATTTTTAAAGCTTCAAATCAAAACTCTAATATCAGGGCTACCCCTATCTCTTTTAAAAAAATCCATGTTCCTATGGAAGCACGATGTGGATCTACTCCCTCGCTCGAAAATACCTATTTAAAGTGTTTTTGTTCTAAAATTTTGATAACCATATAAAAATTAAGTAGAGATTATATCCTCAAAAATTTGATATTTGAAAAATACAGCTAGCATAGATTTTTGTTGAGGGAATAAATAGATAGTAGACTTGAGAGAGTAGAAAATCTTTTGTTTTGAGTTGGGCAATATTACAGTAATAAAATTACCGTAATACTACTTTAAGGTATTACGGTATTTTAATTACCGTAATACTCTATGTTATTATGATAATTAAAGTACCGTAATAGATATTCACATTATTACGGTACTAGAAGTATCGTAATTCTATCTCTATTTACAACGTAATGGTCGCAATGCATTACGATAGAAAGACTACCTTAAAGGGTATTTTCATCCAGAAAATGTTGAAAATTGAGAAAAAAAGTATGGGCAAGATTTTGAGAAGTCAGAGTTTTTTTTGCGATTTTTTTAAAATTAAGGTATATTAGCGATAATTTTCATATTTTTTACAACAAAAGTACATGTTATAATAAAATTTTAAGGTGCGCCTTAATTGGATTGTTTAAAGTTGCAACCTTATAGAAATCGCACCCAAATATAAAACAATTACTTTAAAAATTTAAAATGACCAAATTAGCCCCATTGTTTTTCTGGGGTATTTTTATCATTTTATATTTTAGAAAATATGTTTTATATATTATTTTATGGGTGCGATTTCTATAAGGTTGCAACCTTAAACAATCTAATTAAGGCGCACCTTAAAATTTTATCATAACATTTAATTTTGTTGTAAAAAATTATTAGTATTATCTTAAAATCTATTTTCGTACCTAATTTGAAAATTTTAAATTCCAAAAATAGTTAAAATTAAGTAGATCTATAAATATATAAAAATCTTGAAAATGGACCGTTTAGATAATGTGTTGCAAGATGCACTATTTTCAGGATTCAAAATTTTTTTTTTTTTTCATATTTATACATCTCGATGTCGAGATGATCGATTAGAGTGCCTTTTCAACATTAAAACAACATTTTCGATAGATTTTTGAGGTGCATTTGTGATTTTACATTTTAAGGTTGCAACCTTATATAAACTTTTTCTTTATTTTATTGTGCGCCTTATTTTATAGTACACACGTCCAAATTTTTATTACAATTTAATTTATAAAAAAAAAATTAAAATTTAAATAATAATATAAATTTTAAACCACACGATGAAGATTTGATAGTCAGGAGTTAATACTTTATACTATTTATATAACTAGCAGCTTAAAAATTCTTTTTCATAAGTCCGCATCCAATCGGGTACCTTTCTGGATCCGAGTCCCCATTGTTAAATTTTTTGGATCCGTACCCAGAACCGATCCCACCTGTTGCCACCCCTAGCTCCAGATGCCTCCTCTACCTCCCTCTCTATAATTGAATTTGCTTGCCGTCCGCTATACAGCTTCAAAGGAACACCAGACTTCATCATAAGCTGCTAAACCCAAAACCGTGAATCCTAGCATCAAGATGAGTGGCGCGTGCGGGATCACGTTCCGAGCACCCCATCACCACTGCCCCACTTCACAAAACCCTAACTCCACCACCCCAAAAATCCCTGTCTTCCCCCTCCCCATCAATACCAATAAGCGTTTCCACCCTCTGTGCTCATCGGCTTCATCACAAACCCAAAAAACTGAAAATAAGAACCCCCTGGTGGTGGTGGGCTCGGCAAATGCAGACATTTATGTCGAGATCGAGAGGCTCCCAAAGGAAGGAGAGACTGTGGCTGCAAAAAGGGGTCAAACCCTAGCAGGTGGGAAGGGGGCGAACCAGGCTGCGTGTGCCGGGATGCTGGATTACCACCCCACTTATTTCATAGGGCAGGTGGGTGAGGATGCTCATGGCAGATTGGTGACGGATGCGTTGGCCCAGGGAGGCATCTGCTTGGAGCATGTGAAGAGGGTGGAGGGGGAACCCACGGGGCATGCCGTGGTGATGCTGCTTGGATCTGATGGGCAGAATTCTATCATCATAGTTGGGGGGGCAAACACGAGTGGCTGGCCAGACCCTCTGCCGGAGGAGGATCTTTGGGTTGTCAGGAATGCGGGGGTCCTCCTTTTGCAGAGGGAGATACCTGACGCCGTCAACATTCAGGTCGCAAAGGTACATGGCGTTTACTCTCTAAATCTCCCCTGTGCCTCCTCTCTCTATCTCTAGCTTTTTCATCCCTGCTACTTTTCATTCAACTCACAGATTAGAGACCAGCTAAGTTAGATTAAGCTTACATTTTCTGAGGAACTTTATTTTCTTACTGGTTTATCCACTTTGTGCATGTTTCCCTTCTCTTTTTGTTTGTTTCCAGTGTTGGGCCAAAAACAAACGTAGTTTTGTTCGGGACTTGCCCCTTTCCCAGCTGAGTTACCGGGGCAAGAGAGTGGTAGAATAAAAGTATAATTGAAATTTCCATCAAAGGGTTTGGTTTTTATAAAAGATCAAACATCGGAATCTAAGAAATCGAAGTTTCTCAAAATGGGGCAAAAACTCCCCAATTCTTCTATTTAAAAGACATGAGAAATCAAATGGTTTTTTCTCTCTCCAGTGCTTCCAATATTTAGATCTAGTGATTTTTTGGCATAATCTGAAAATCTCTCAGAAGGGATTTGGATCACTTTCACTCATGAGAATAGAAAGTGGTGCGTGTATTTCCCTCCCCTTTTTAGAGATATAATCGGGTGAGTTTGCCTGAGTTGCATAGTACTCGTTTGGCTTGTATAGTACTTGCCCTGTTACATGCTCCCACCGCCCGAGTCTATGCACCACTACTGGCCTCAGCCCTGCCAAGGCTGAGTAATTTGATCGAGTCCTTGTCGACTTTGCCAAGTTTTAAAGCACTGGTTTGTAGTGGCATGATTTGCTATGACTTTCCTATCTAAATTCCTCTTTTTACCTGCTATGGATGAATCGAGTGAATGGTTAATCAACAAGGATGCTAGAAATGAACCCGTATTCATAGGAGAGAGCTTGATATGGACTCAAATACATGAGACGGTTGGTATTGCATTGAGCCCTATGAGGACTACTAGATCTCAAACCCAAAGGAAGGGGAAGGGGAAGGGGAAGGGGAAGAAGAAGAAGGTGAAGGTGAAGAGGCTGATGGAAGTAAGAGAAGAAGTGGAGGAGGTAGTGGCTGGCCTTGGATTTTCGCGTATGCACACCCCCATGTGTTGGGGAGAAAACTCTCGATTCTTTTTCTTAAAACCCACGACGCCCCTTCAAATCTAGGAGCGAGAGAAGGAAGAGAAAGAAAAGGCGTGTGTGTGCCGCGCCTCCCCCTTTTGGGTTCATGCGCATGTGCATGTGGAGGTGACTCCGATGCTTACAAGGATAAGGGTCGGGTGGTGCGGTAGATGCGGATCGAACCAACAAAAGAAATAAAAGCGCGAGGCGCTTGTTTGGGATCGGGACATGTCCGGGCGATGAGCCCTCTTTGATCATTTTGATAGCCCCGGCCTCTTCGGCTCGGTTTGGCTTCAGCTCCCGCTCCCTTGCAACTTGACACAGCTTCAATAGCCATTCCATAGATGGCTTGAAATTTTGTCCCTTGTCTCGCCTTTCATGATAGGATTTAAAGGGGGTTTGGGGTTTGAGAGTTTAAGAAGTGAAGATAGAAAAAGGGGAGATAGAGTATAAAAAGAGGAGAAAAGATGGAAGAGATGGGGAAGTCACCCGAAAATTGGGCAGCCTTCTAGTGTCACCTCCCCAAGGAGCGCTGAAAAGCCTCCTAAGAGTGACTTTTAGAGTAGAAATGAAGTGATGAAAGGATGAGAAGGGAGAGTAAGAGGAGGAGAGAAGAAAGGGGTAAGAAACTTGGGCACCCTCACAGCGTCACCTCCCCAAGGAGGTATTTGCCAGAAGACAACTGAAAAGGTATTAGGCTTGGAGCCTAAGTACCCCGCAGAATTCACAAAAAACCATATTGGTGGGCCAGGCCTGACCAGGATGCGTCTCGGAAGAGCCCCCTAAGAAAGGTGTGAGTGGTATGAGGGACGAATGATGAAAAAGGGAAATTAGATCGAGATAGAAGAGAGTAGGGGAACAACCCGGAGGTTTCTTAAGGTCAAGGAACCGGGTCAAGCCCGGTCGCGACCTCAGAAGATCCTCACGCAAAAGGATGGTCCAAGCTAGGACGTGAAGTAAGAGATAAGAAGAGAGTAGGGGACCAACCCCAGAGGTTTCTTAAGATCAAGGAATTGGGTGAAGCTCGGTCGCGGCCTCAGAAGAGCCTCACACAAAAGGATGGTCCAAGTTGAGAAGGTGAAGAGAAAGAGAGATGAAGAGAGTAGAAGAAAGAAATAGGGCGAGGGAAAGGAAAGAAAGAGAAGAGAAGAGGGAGATGAAGAAGAAGGGGGAAAGAAAGGAGGAAGAAGAAGAGAGGGAGTGAGGAGGAGATAGAGAGTGAAAGAGGGAGAGAAGAGAGAATAATAGAAAGAGAGAGAGCGAAGAGAAAGAGAGGGAGAAGAAGAGGGGGGAGAGAGGGGGCAGTGGCTAAGCCGCTGGTCTGAGAGAGAGAGTGAGAGAGAACGAGAGAGAGAAGAGTTCGGGGCAGCGGCTAAGCCGCTGGCCCGTGAGAGAGAGGAGTGAACAAGAGAGGGAGAGGAGAGAGAGAAAGAGAGGGTTGGGGCAAAGGTTAAGCCGCTGGCCCGTGAGAGAGAGGGAGAGAGAGAAAGAAAGAGAGAGAAAGAGAAAGAGAGGCAGAAGAAGTCAAACCAATCTATATAGATAGGACCATCACTAGGTATTTTAATTATCAAAAAAATATTGGGAGTGACCTAAAGAATACCAAAGAGGGAAGTATGAAGAGGAGGAGGCATATGCTTCTTCCTTCGCCTCTCGACTGGAACAAGATTTACAACCTGTACCCCAAACTGTTGCCTCCCCAACCACCGTTAACACTTGCTCAGGGACCCAAGCCGACCCTCCAGAAGGGCCTTGTTCGCACAGGTCGCCGCCTTAGCCCCACTCTATCCCCCCTCAGCTCCTAGCGTCCCACCCCTCCCCTCTAGTGCTCGACCTCCAACCCTGGGACTCACTTCTCCGTTCCTTCCCTCCACCCCTGCAGAGGAGTCAGCCCATCTCAAATCCAAACTTCTTTCTTCCCTTGTGGAAAGCTTTCTACCAAGATGGGACGACATCAGGGGGGTAGAGAAATGGCCCCAACGGCTTTGGGCGGAGAGCCCAATCTTGGCTATCGCAGTATCTCAAGCGACGAAATACTTTTCAGCTTCCCTTTGCCCGAGAGTGCTAACTGAGCTCTACAAGAACCCTCCCACTCATTCAAAGGGGCAGCTTTAAAGCTCTGCAACTAGTCCCCGAAGAATGGGTCTTTCTGGAAACAGAGAGTGTGGCTCACAGTGGATCACATACCTCTACACGCGTGATCCCCCTCCATGTTCAAGAGAGTGGCGGAGGTATGTGGTTCTCTGGTCAAGATCCACTGGAAATCTATCAAAGTCCTACCACTGGGCTCTATCCGCTACTCTTGGAGGTCCTCGATACGTCATCCCCTTCATCATCTGGTTAGAAGCTGAAGATCTTTTCTATCCGATTAATCTATCATGGTCTGCGGCTTCTCCGCCCTCACCATCTTTCTTCAACTCTGCAGATGCCCCCCCTCCTAAGGGTCCCCCCTCCTCAACTTGGACCAGAGTTTCAAGGAAACACCGCCACCCTAGGCAGCGCCACTGATCGTCCTCCTCCTCTTCCGTGCTAACTGAGAGGGCAACGGCTCGATAGCTACTAAACCACCCTCGGTAGCCACCTGAAGACCACGTGTCGATCAAACGGGTTCCCATGGCTGGTCCGTCCAACGACTGGATGCCATCTAGCCGGCCTCGAGCTCAGGTGACTCCCCTCCTTCGACTTGCTTGAGCCCCCAAGGCGACGCTGGTATCAGTCCTTCTACGGCTACGGCTTCACTTGTGCCATGTGACTCCCCCCCCTCTGCCTTACTCGTCGGGCCAATCGGCCAGTTTAGGCCCATCGCTACACAAGGCTAGCCCATTTATTTGTCGCCCCTTCCCGCCCTCTAAACCATACCTAAATGCTCATATCCCCAGGAACTCTGACCCCCGCTCGACACTTGTCAACGCCGCTTGCCCTCCTATCTGCTATCTTACCTACCCTGCTACCACTTCTCACCCTAGGCTGCCTACTTCTTCCGTTTTGTCTCCCTCACCTACCCTCGAACATTTCCCGTCATCGGAAGTAGAGGTGACGCCCTTTCCCCTAACCCATTCGGCCACACCTACCCTCCCCTCGAGCTACACCCCCTCGAGATCCCAACTGTCTCTCCTGATGTCTCGGTTGGCTGCCCCCCTCAACCCCCCACACATGTTCATCTTTCTTGTGCCCCTGTTAGCTCTTTCACCCTTCCATCTCTGCTTCTCGCTTTCGCCTCTCCATCTTCTGCCTTACCTTTGCACTCCTCTCCCTCAATCACCCGCACTCTTAAAGATAACCCTCGCTGAGAGTCCACTTCTTGGACTTCTAACCCCTTCTCTCTCTCTCCCCCTTAGTACCGCTTGACCACTTACCTTTGGCTCTCTTGCCTCTGATAGAATCCATTTCACTTGTACCCACTTCATCCCTGACCTACTCCCCCCTTGAGATAGCCACTTTTGAAGATTCTCCTCCCTCTCCCACACAATTTGCCCCCTACGACAACACCATGGAGTGGTTCCAGTTCCCCTTCGGCATTGTTGCAATTCAATCCATGGACCCCTCTCCTCCTGATCCAACCCTCATCTCTGCCCTTCTCGCCCCATACTTCCCATTCACCCCTCTCCTGGTTCCCATTTGTCGTGTCAGAACCTTCCACCTTTCTTACCCACAAACTCTTGACCCTTCACCGTCTTGGACTTATCCATCCTCCGACTCACCTGAACCTCACCACCCTACTTTCCACCCAGGATCTGCTCTCCCCCTAAGTTCACCCTTTTATTCCTCGCAAATTTCGACCCCTCTTCACCAGTCTTCCCCAACCACCTTACCTACTCATTTTTTGGGACATCTAACCACGGCCACCACCTTCCCTCCTATACCCTATCCAAATGTGTCTCCCAGCCCTCCACCCACTCCCCAACCTCTTGTCTTCAACCCCCCAA